CATGGCTTGGATCAGGCTCACCTTAGTCCTCAAAGTAACATCCTTGCTTTCCAGTACTCTAAAGAAGTCTTGTGCAGCAGATTGACCCAATGCAACATGTCTTTTGATCTCTTGACTGCTGCTCCCAGGAGCACTGATTGTGGGTCCCAGCAGGACAAAACCCTTGGCCAAGTAGATGAGGGTATTATTGTGTGCATGGATGTGTTGGTGATTGTCATGGATTGAATCACAACTCCACAAGATGGGTATCAACTTGGCCATGCTTCTTGCATTGTGTGTTGACCCTCCCTTTTGTGGTGTGCTGTAAACCCTCACTTCTAGGATGTGGATGAGTCAGGATTCCATCAGTAGGATTAGACTGTACCTCGAGTCAATCTCTTTTGAGACCTAAGAGATTAAACAAGTGAGCAGAGATCAGAGGGACCCACCTACCACCGACACAGAAGCGTTGGGAGCGGAGCATGTCCCTTGGACCCGTGGGTCCCTGTGCTGAGAACCTCTTAGACTTGGGGGAAGGTTGATGCCAAGACTCATGGAGACCTCCAAGGAATGGTGGGTCCACAGATGCTGGAAGACGACAAGGACCCTGCTCCAGTGTGGACAGAGGAAGCTCTCCCCTGCAGCTGGGCTTCGAGCTCCCTGAGCGATGAGAGAATACATTTCTGTGGGTTGAAGCCGTCTGCTCGGGGCTTCTCTGTTCCAGAGGCACTAGACGGCTAAGACCACGATGGAGGTGTTTTGGAACTTGATCGAGGTGGCAGCTGTGCACCACCAACCATGCAGTCAATGCCACAGAATGACACACTGGCAAATGGCCGACCACTTGACTTCATGTGAATTTCATCTCATTAGAAACAGCAACCAGCAGTGGGGACCAAGCCTTTTCGGCCGTCACTCCCCTGGCCTTAGGGCTCATCACTGTCATCCATGATTTCTCAAGGTGTAGGCGAGCCCCGGTGGTGGCTGATCTGGTGAAGCCCGAGGCAGGATGGTGCCCACAGCCTGAGAGTCTGTTCCCTCTGTGTTCCCATGGACTTAGAAGCCAGCCTTGCTCTGGGCTGCTGGTTGCCGCTCGGGTCCCCCACATGGGCATGGGTGAGTGAGAAGCTCATCCGTTCTGTGAGACGCAGTCTAGCTGGTGATCAGGGGTGACATTTAAACCCCCCCACCCCTCACCCCCGCATTATGCAACATAATTCACGATTGCATTGCAGGCATCATGATCGTTGCAATTGCTCAGTCATAAAAGCAGCATCAATTATTTAGCGTCACCTCATGTGTCCGTGTTAAGTGGGGGCTGGGGGGGGCAGCCCACCCTGGTTTCCAGCAGGCCACCTTCCAGGTCAGGCCAGGTCCACTGATTAATCCCCCGCCCCCCCCCCCTGGCTGTCGGTCATCGGGCAGTCTTTACCCTGCTGACTGTCCACAGTTGAATGCCTGAGCCCCAGGGGACCAACACCATCCCAGCCTGCCTCCAGGGAGACCTGAGTCCCCCTGTCCCCAAGTCAGCGTGATGCGAGTGGGGTGGGGGCAGGGAGGTGTGCTGGTTTGGCGAAGACCAGAGATTGGCTGCTTAACCAGACACCTGCAAAAAGTTCAGGGAAGAAATCCGCTCTCTGTTCATTCTATTTCCCCACGAAACCTTTTCTGAGGTTCCATGCCGTCACTTTCTCTGAGACGGGGCCCCTCTCCCCCAGGAGCCCGCAGGCTCAGTGAGGGAGGGGTCCCGCTACCCAGCAGGTAGAGAGCCCCATTGCCTATGCCTGGTGGCTCCCCTTGGGCTCAGTTTCAAGGGGCTGATTTCTCTGCTATCCTCGTCGGACTTGGGGGGAGGAGGGGAGTCAGGACCCCCAGGATGGGGTCTGAGAAGATCCTCGGGGGCCCCAGCTGGGGCACAGCACTGCCGGGCACGGGCAGGGAGAAGCATCACTGCAGAGCCTGGCTACCATGCAGGATGCCTGCTCTCTCTAGCCCTTAGAAAGGACCAGGGCAGTGGAGCTGGGCCCCGGTGCAGGGGAGCCCAGGTGGAGGTGTCCTGGGGTCTTTGTCTAATTTGCAAAAAGGAGTTTTTTTCAATGACTCTGGAGTGAGATTTACTTAGTGCCGCACCAGCCCCCCAGGAGTGAAATCCAGCAAGGTGCAAACAACAGAATGTGGCTTAGGGGAGCTGTGAGGGAGTGTGCGTGCAGGGACCGAGGGGCCGGTGACTGCCCCGTGTCCCTTGCCTCGAGCCCATCATCAGAACTTTGAGTATTTCTTCCCTTCCTTCAGGGCTATGCACCAGAGAAGTCTTCTCAAAGGGCTCCCCCCACCCCCGCGTCTTCTCTGAAGGCATCCTCCTCACCTTTACTCCTACGGACGGGCCAGCATGTATGAAATGCTTAAGATAACACCCCGTGCACAGAGCCAGAACTCGGCCCGCTGCCTCTTCTGCCTGCACTGCCACGGGCCAGAGAGAAAGCTCACTGTCCTTCCCCACTCCAAGCTGAGGAGCCAAGCAGGTGGCTGCTTAACCGCAAGGTCAGCGGTTCGAAACCACTAGCTTTTCCTTGGGAGACAGATGGGGCTTTCTACGCCCATAGAGAGTTACAGTCTTGGAAACCCATAGGGGCAGTTCTACCCTGTCCTGTGGGGGTCATAGAGGGTCGACTCAGAAGGTCAACCCCTCTGTGAGTTGGGGTCAACTTCTTGGCAGTGAGTTTGGGTTGCCGTTCTTGGCAATGCCAACCTTGGCCCTGATACATGGGTCTGGTTGCCTCTTTGAACTTCTCCCTAGGAGGCCCCCCCCTCATAGAAATACAAACCAAGCCAAACTCGCTGCCATTAAATCGATTCCAACTTCTAGCAACTCTGCAGGGCAGGGTCCTACTGTGTCCCGTGGGTGTCCAGGGCCCCGACCCTTCAAGGGAGGACAAGGCCTCATCTTTGACCCTGGACTACAGCTGGGGGTTTTGAACTGCTGACCTTGCAGGGGGAGGCCCAACTCTCCATCCACTATGTCCATAGGGCTGCTTCTCCCCAAGGGAGCAGCACTCATGGCCACCAAGCCGATTCCCACTCCTCGTGACCCCGGAGGGCAGGGGAGAACGGCTCTGTGGGTCTCCCAGACGGTAACTCTTGACTGGAGCAGAAAGCCCGGTCTTTCTCCCAAAGGACGGAAGCGGCCAAATTGCTGCCGACCCAGGATTCCACGGAGGGACGCGGGGGTCTGAGAGGCCACCACAGGCAGAGCCAGGAGGTTAACCGAGGTGGCGGCTCCCTCATTAAGCTGCAGGGGAGAGGATACCGCAGATGGATGGGGTGAGGACAGCGGAGATGCATTAGCCGAGTGAGCTGACGGGGGAGGAAGGATTCAGGTGTTCCTTTTTAACATGTATCTGAAAAGAAATGAGGAAATAAATTTTCTGAATCATCGGGTTCTGATTTCTTATCGTCAAGACAATGGGGAGGCAGACAAGGGCTGGGTGTGTGTGTGTGTGTGTGTTTCAGACAGCCTTGGGGGGCGGGGGCCTGGTGGTGAGAAGGGAGATGCAGGGATTTCAGACACAGCCAGGCATACATTTGTGAGGCCTTGGAAAGAGAGCCAGCCACTGCCCAGTGGATTCCGACAGCTGGTGGCCCCCATGTCTCAGAGTGGACCTACACTCCCAGAGCTGCCTGTGGCTTTGCAGAAGCCGAGCACCAGACCTCTCTGCCGTGGTGCCTTTGGGTGGATGTGAACCTCTGACCTTTTGGCTGGTCAAAATCACTGCCATCAAATCAGGTGCAGACTCATAGCAACCCTACAGGATGGGGTAGAACTGCCCCTGTGAGCTGCTGGAATGATGACTCCTAACGGGAGTAGAAAGCCCTTTCTCCCGAGGAGCGACTGGTGGTTTCAAACTGCTGACCTTGCCGTGAGCAGCCCCTCGCAGAGCCACTACGCCATTGTGTGCGTAACCATTTGCACCACTCAAGAAAGAGCCTCTCCCACTTCCCCCGCTCCACCTCCAAGCCCAGTTCTGGGATTTTCTTAGAGATTAAGGAATCCTGTGTTTGGACTAGATGCCCTGGCTGTTAAAGGAGAATATAGCTATTTGAGGTTACTTTTGCCGGATTTTTAAAATGCACCCACTGCTCAGTCCTGCGTGCCGAGTCTACCTGTGTCCCTGCCCTTAAGGCCCCCTGGGGTGCTGTGTTAGTCTGGATACTTTAGAGAAACAAATCCACAGAAACTCATGTATAAGAGAGAGTTTTACGTAAAGGTTAAATGCACATCAAGAAAACATCCCAACCCAGTACTGCCCAAGCCCACAAGTCCAACATTAACCCACTAGTCCATATGTCCAACACCAATCCACAAAGTCCTCCTCCATCTCACAAAACACACACTATGACGCCGACTGCAAGAGGAAAGTCGAATCAGTGAGCATGTAAACATCTCAGCGCTGGCAGGGGTCTCCACATGTCTCCTCCAGTACCCAGGGCTTCATCGGGGTAGGTCCCTGTATCTTCTCCTTGGGGATGTCTTGCAGGAAGTCAGCCTTGCCAGCTGAAGCAGGCAACAGGCTAAGGCAGCTGCACCCTGGTCCGACCATCAGAAAGCAAGAGACCCAAGAACTAGAAAGGCGAAGCTCACTGAGCCATGTATCTCTCCACCCTTCAATTAACGCCACGTGTTTATCGGCCAGGTTGGCACAAGAAACTTTAACTCGGGTGCCGTGGTTAAGTATTCCAGTCTGACTGCATAGAGATGGCAGGGCCAGGGAGCCCACCGGGCAGTTCTCCTCAGTCCCATGGGCTCGCTCTGAGGCAGAACTGAGTCGGTGGACACAGGTTTGGTGCAGGTAACCCGGAAAGCGGGTTGTCTACCTCATAGCCCCAAGAAGCCTGGGTCAGGCCTAGCACTACTCCGCCGGGCTCTCTGGGCAGAGGTTGGCCACTAGCCCCTGGGACCCAGGGCTCAGAGGAGCACTTAGTATTGATGCCAGAGTGATGGGTGGCACTATTTCTTGTTTCAGGGTGCAGCGGAAGACCCCCAGACGGCCTTGGCCCTGAGCTTCGACCCCAAGCTGGTGAAGAAATCGGACACCGAGGGCCCCTCGCTGCTCTTCCCCGAGAGAGAACTTTCCATCCGGATAGGTAGAGCTGGGCTTCTTCCAGGCAAGCGCCTCCCTGCAGACCCTCAGCTGTGGGTGTGGGAGTCGTGTGGAGAGGTGGGCCAGGTGCCCCTGCCATGGCACAGGGCTGAGTGGGTAGGGGGCTGCATGCCATCTCGTTTCATCTCGTTTGTTCTCCGACCGCCCTGTACAGTGTGAAGGACGAGCGGGGGGCCTCTGGGTCGGGGATGGTCGTGACTTAGGTGTGGTTGTACCTGGAGTAGAGCCAGGAGTCACCTTGTGGCTGACCGGGTGGGGCCCTCACTCTGACGTGGGTCAAAGAGCGCTGGCCGTTGTGCGACTCACCTGGTGAGAGCTCTCACCCCTCTCCATGACCTTGATTGAGCTCTTGGATTCATCTGGGGAAACAGGCTGTGTCTCCCACAGATCCAATTTTCCAGCCAGGAACGCGAGAACCTCTGACTGCAAAGCTGTGCCTTTTCCCTTAAACCAGAGGGCCCAGCCCCTGGAGCATGAGGAGCCCTGGAGGCGTCCTGGTGGCGAGTTGGGCTTCTAACTGCAAGGTCATCAGTTCAAAACCACCAGTCGCTCCTTGGGAGAAAGACAAGGCTTTCTACTCCCGTAAAGAGTGACAGTCTCGGAAACCCACAGGGGCAGTTCTGCCCTGTCCTGCATGGCCTCGGTGAACCCGAATGGCGGCAAGTTGATTGTTTGTTTGTTTGTTTTCCTTCCTGCTGGAGCCCTGCCAAGGACCGTCTCTTGTGAGGAGGGCAGGGTCCTGTCATTGGCCATCCTGGGCTGTGAACGCTGGGCTGGAAGCAGTCCTGTCAGCTGCAGCCACCAGTATGGTGCGACTTTCTAGTCGCGGTTCCATGCTTCCTAGGTAGCCCTGGTTGGACTTGAACCCCCAGCCTGGTGATTTGCTGCCAAACGTGTGAATCCTTTGCACCACCGGGGATTGCTCCAATGGTCTTAATGGGCCTGCGCATCCTCCTGTAGAGGCCTCATGTGCCTGATGATTTGGAGCCTCCTCTTAGACGAAAAAGTTGTCTCGTGTGTGTGTGTGTGTGTGTGTGTGTGTGTGTGTGTGTGTGTGATGCTGAAGGCCATAGGGGTAATGTCAGTCCCTGGCAGCCAAGAAAGGTTAAACAGCGGTCATCTTTTGGGTCAACCTTTTCCAATGAGGGCATGGGAAGGATGGGCCTGTTGGAACCTTCTGGAACGACCAGGTCTTCTTGGCCAGCCCAGGGTTAAGTGGTAAGCAGGGGTTGTGTGGGAGGAAGATGCAATCCTGGCTTCAGAACATCTAGGCACAGCCTGTTACCAGGTTTCCAAGCAACCCTCCTTGGCCGTTGCTAACCATTCAGATGCAAAGGTAAACGCAGCCCTGGGGTGGGGCCGTGGAGAAAATGTGAGGATGGCGCATCCAGACAGCGAGCGCCCAGCCAGCTCTCCAAAGGTCACTGCTGGTCTCACCTGGACGCACCTGCGGGTGTCAGGCAGTGCAGGACTCTGACATCGATAATGGCTGTTTGATGTTTGCCCTCCTGTAGATCGAGCCTGAATGTGCATTATATGTACCATCTGGGTTTGCCTGTGAGCTTGCTGTAAATGGAGCACGGAGATTGGCCTAATGGGTCTTTAGTGAATAACATCAGCCTCTAAAACATCATATTGGGGCTGCTGTTATAATGTCTTGTAATTGGTTCGGCAAGAGGAAAGAGCCACACGGTGGGAGAGAAAGTTCAGCCATTCTGATCAGCCGAAGCAGCAGCTTGATTTGGGAATAGCATTTATGAGATATTTTCCCATTTATGGTCTTGTGCCAAGTGCTTTGCACTCCCGAGGCTGCAACTGTTTTGTGATTTAACTGAGCCGGAATTATTTGAAAGCTATCAGCCTCTTTTCCCTATGCATTCCTATGCATTCATCTACGCACTCACCCACCCACTCATCCATCCCTCCATCTACCCACCCATTCACCCAACTATCCACCCATCCACTCATCCACTCATCCACTCATCATCCATCTACCCACTCATCCATCCCTCCACCTACCCACTCATCCACCCATCCATCATCCACCCATTCATCTATCTATCATCCATCTTATTTATCTATCTCTAACTAGTATACTTTTCATTCAAAGAGTAAGCACATGGAGTAGCAGTATGACATCTTTCTCCCAATTTAAACTTCCCCGAGACCGAGTTCCCTGCCTCAGATGCAAACATTGTCCCTAGCTTCTGGTACATTCTTTCTTTGGAAACCCCATGCTGGGGCCAAGCCTGCGGCCCTGTTGTTCATGCCTCTGCTCTCACACAGCAGTGCTCCTGGTATCATCTCTCAAGCCAGCCCATGGATCTACCCCACTCTTGCCTCTGGCCACCAGGCGACCTACTCGGTCCCCTTCTCGTGGACCTCTGGGCTGGTTTCCATCCTTGCTGCTAAGAACCATGTGGCAGGGGGTAGAGGGGTCCCTGTGTCTCTGTGGACAAACTTACTAGCTGAGTACATTCTAGAAATTAGGCCAGGGGTTCTTTCCACTGGGGACCCCTGAATGGGCGCCCCAAAGGGCTCAGGGACCTCTTGAGGTATACAAACTGGTGTGTCCATGTGTCCGTTGTGGAAAGCACACGCATACCACCGTCCTAACACACCAGTCTTATGACCCCACTGTCGATCAAGGTCCTAGGTCCCCAGACTAATGTGGCCTACTGCCCTCTTTGCAGAGACAAAAAATGACTCAGACCCACCCCCTCCCCATCCCCCTGGGAAATAAAAATCTTTTGACCTGCAGCCCATCACCCAGGATAAAGTGTAGGTATCTGTTTCCACAGCCTCGCCCTCCGAGGACTGGTCTCGCCCACTTTGGGAACCGCTGCTCTAGATCTTGGCTCTCTGGCCTCGACCTTCCCTGTCCACCAGTCTCACTCTCTTCCCAACACCCTCTTTAGACCATTTCGGCGAATGAGAAGGAAGCCAAAGCTGCCCCAGAGGGAGCCGTTCCTGGTATTGGCGAGCTTCACCAGTGCATCGCAATCAGTCCTCTCAGTGGTGGCTGTTTGGCTTGTCTTTTGTCTGGCAGGTGGGTGGTCGTCTGTCCTTCTGTACATGGGAGGAACAGGAGTCAGCATTAGTGTCGGTAGAAGGAGAAGTCGGCCTAGTTTAGGGGAGGGTAGTAATGGCGTAGCACCCCTGTATTTCCTGGGAACCTTTCCCAAGATTGTTAGGGGGACCAATGAATAGGTACTGAAGTCAGGAGAGTATGAATTCTGTAAGGAAAAGACCAGCTAGAAACAGGTCTTCCGTTAGGTCACCAGGCAAGAATAAGCCCCTGGAGAGCATGGTGGGTCTGACACACTTTTGAAGCTGCGTCTTGTAAAGTTTGGCCACAGGAAATGCGTACAGACCTGGTGTGAAGTGGGTACTTGCTTGGGAGACACTACTATGACCACACACTCACAACATGGGGGTGGGGGTGTGTGTTCACCCGTGAACTCACACTCACAGTTTCAACTCCCAAATCTTAAATTCCTCATTGGCTCTGCTGTTGATTGGCTGGGTGGCATTCCCCTGGGAAGGAGAGCTGCTTTGGGGGAGGAAAGAATTAGCCTTTTCTCACTCAAGATTCCCAAGAACTGAGCCCCCAGATCAGCACCTACAGGGCTCATTCCACTCAGAACCGGGGCGGGGTCCAGTTGGCCCTCGGCGCTCTGAAACACGCAAACCAACCTTGCTGCCATCAAGTCGTTGCAATGCCCAGCGGCCCTCTAAGCTGGAGGGGACGCGCACTTGTGGATTCCGAGGCTGTGAGTCTCCACAGGAGCACACACCCTGGTCTTCCTCCCGAGGAGGGCCCGTGGTTAGCAGCCTAACTTGTTACCCACTGTCACCAGGGCTCCTCGTGTGCTTGGGACCGTCAGCCCTCCCTGTTTTCCTGATGGGGACCCGGGGAAAAGCATTGATGAACACAGCCCCTTACTGCCGCTCAAAACAAAACAATACGAAACAAACTCACAGCCATGGAGGTCATTACAACTCACAGCCACCGACAGGACAGGGTAGACCTACCCCTGTGGGTTCTGAGACTGTCACTCTTTACGTCTTTCTCTATCCGAGCAGCTGGTGGTTTTGAACTGCTAACCTTGTATTTAGTAGCCCAACAAGTACCCACTATGCCACCAGGGCTCCTTTCAGTAAAGAGTACAGCCTAGAAGGCCGGTACGGGCACTGTGAGTCAGAATGCGAGGCAGGCCCCAGCTTGTCCTCCTGCAGAGATGCCAGGTGGGCTCGAACTGCCGGCCTGACGGTTAGCAGCTGCGCCTGGAACCCAGTTGTTTCACCTGGGCTCTTCCCGGGAGGCTTGGCCGTTGTCCAGACCAGGGGCTGGCAAGCTTTGGCGATGGAGGAGTCAATCCTCACCCCTCACAGCAGTTTAAAATGTGTTCAAGAGCCAGAGGGATGTTTTCACAAACAAATGAAATCACCATAGCCACGGCTATGTCCCGAAAGAGCTGCAGTTTGCCGACTCCTGGTCTGGGCAATGGCAAACCTGGCCAGAGAGCTCGGAGCTCAGCTGGAGGCATTTGGGGGCCCAGCCGGCAGAAGTTCTGCTGTCCGTGGTTAACAGTTCAGAGAACTCTGGGTTGCGATGTGGACTCCCCAGGCACGGAGCTCAGCAGGCTGTGCGCTGGGTGCTCGCGCCTCCGACAAGTGACCAGCATCTACCTTTGGGCCAGTTCAGGTGGAGCCCCCACCCATCCTGAGAAGAAGCAGAGCATTCCCCAGAGGAAAGGGGTGTCCCTAAAGGAAAGAAAGAAACACAGGGATGACTGTGGTGGTGTATATTTGTTTATCATGACAGATGTCCCCCCAAAATCTTTCTAAAGACCCCAGAAGTATATTTATTGTATTTTTCCCACTTAATGTTGCCAATATTGAGCTATATCCACAGATAACTTTCTCCTCTCATTTGCAATCAAAAGATTCATGAATCCTGAAGAACTGCTCCAATTGTCACCCAGAGCATACTCTATTAAT